TATCTATCTATCTATCTATCTATCTATCTATCTATCTATCTATCTATATATATACTTTAATATTATTGTAATAAAATATTATGTTATAATTAATAATTCTATAGTTATTATAGGTTATTATAATTATTATAATCATTAAAGTCTAAATAAATTTCTGAACATCTTGTTAACATTCAACAGGAAAGCATTGTACATCATTGTTACAAGCTGTTGCTGCTATAAAAGCATGGAGCACTAATAGTGTTAACTATGACTATTACTTTGGAAAATGTGACGTATAATGTAGCATGAAAAGACTAAAAGATCCTGAATGAAAACCAGAGCGAACTGCAGAAAGAAAGTTTTGTTGTGGTTGGAAACGGTCTATAATTCTCCTCTAATTACAGACAATTGTTTTTAATACTTGTGTAACACTTCAGAATATGAACTAATATTCCTGACATGAGTGCTAAAAGTTCAATATAAATTTTCCAAACGCCATAAAGACAGCTCTGGTTTTCTTTGAATCTGCAGAGGTGAATGTCAAATTGATTTCTGTGTTACATGTTTACACAAAAACACATAACTTGGTGTTCAGTTGTCAGACTTGTCAGTAAAAGTAAGAATCAATCATTATTATACAATTCTAAGTTACCTTCTGAAGAGTTGAGGGAACCATCAGCACCATGCATGCCACACACCAGTCACAAACACATGAAATGAGACGTGTGAGTGATTGAAACAGGAAAGGGAGGACATGAGAGACAACAAAACACAAATTCACGTAGAGGAGAAATAAAATGAAGTAGCACCAAAACAGAAAGCTAGTTAACAACAACATAAATGATTAAACTGCACATTAATTCCTTTGTTTGGGTTCTAAATGTCAAAATACAGTAGACATCCAACAGCTTAATCTTCCTGATTTAGGCCAATTAATCATCTTTAAAGCAACTGATTAATTAATGCTGATGAGCTGCAAACACTCCCAAACTCTTTTTTCCCCTAAAGTAGGTGAAACCAGAGGGAAAGTGTGCAGCTTTTGAAATGCAGAGATTTGCTGTTCAATCATTACACTGTCATGTCATTAAGTCAAGAACTTCAAAAGCTGCTAATCAGAAATAAATTACAATTTATTTTTTGTTGTATCAGATTGAAACCCATGGGATGCAAGTAAAATTAAAATCTAATTAGTGTGTAACAACCCACAGAGAGTTTGCAGTGATGTTCAGGACAGACAAGGTCACAGTTTTAAACGAACAGTCCCTTCCTCACGAAGCTTAAAAGGCATTACAAATATTGCTAATCAGCAGGAGGGACTGAGTTCTCCTGTAGGGGGAAAACAGCTACATCACAAACAACTAATCTTCTATTATCACATAACAGAACAAACCTGTACCTTCAGAAGAAAAATGAGAAATACCATCTAGACACACAAGAAAAGCAATCAATAATAACACTTTCTGCACAAATAACCACCCAAATCTCTGAGCTATACTTGACTGAAGAATTAAGGATGTCTAAATTCTGCCATACTCCCCTAGAAGTATAAATTTTAAAGACTGAATACTTGAGACATTATTGTCTGTCAGGAGGAGACGAAGTAATCTGTCAGAGAATTAAAAGGTTGCATACAAACTCTGATTCAAAGGTGCCATTAAGTAACTAAAACCTGTACTGTGCAAATAATCTCAAACATAACAATTTGTTCTCATTACATTAGAACATTACAAAATGTGACAAAATGCAAACATTACTGCCTGTTATTAAACATTGTTTTATTTAAACTGGTGCAGATTTTGTCTATTTGCATAAAAAAAAAAATGCAAATCCTTAAAACCCTTTTTAAAAATCCATTTCTGAATTGGTGAAGCTGTAAAATTAAAACATTGCCATAAAAGAGGTAAAAAATGAACAGACTGAGCTAGAGAAAGCAGAATGAATCACTTACTTTTGTAAGTGGGGCCTGATGGATAGAGCAGACAAATGAGATGAGTAAGCAGATACAAGAATGGGTGATTAAAATCATAAAATGAAATGAAAATATGAGATGATTAGCATACAAATAACCAAATCACAAGGGTGAGCTCTCCTGAGATAACATACATGCCCAACCAGCAGAGGGCGACAAACACCAACCAACGTGCTGCTTATTTACTGAAAGACGCCATTCAGCCATGACGTCATGACCACTGACTGACCGGTGAGGTATGACTGCTCATCTTACACTTTGAGCTACAAGTAAAACTTGCATCCTGGCATTTCTCTTTATCCAAGTACCTTTTTTTTGTTTACACACACCTGAAAGCAACTTTCACCCACAACCAATAAGCAGCAGTGAACCAAAAACAGCTGAGAAATGTCTCAAAAACTATAAAAGTCTAAAACTTGTATTTTTCCTTCAGCTTCTCTAATCTGATGGCAAGACTAATCTTACAAAGAGCCCAGCCCATAAATTACAGATCCAAAGTGCTGTTCATGTGCCAGCAGACACTTCAGAACATCCTCAGGTGTTCTTTACTCCGAGACGTTTTGATGGTAATGGTTGGACCTTCACAGTTTTAGGTAGGTGGCCACACCCATATTGTTGACTGGTCTATAAAAAAATTAAAAATAAATCAAAATCTCACTACAAGGTTTTCAAGCAAAATACAAAATTATGAACCTGACACAAAGTTGTAAGACAAAAGGTTTAATGCATGTGACTTTAGATAAAGTCGATGTTTCATTCTGTGAGTTAAGCAGCAGCATTTATTTAAATAGTCATATTTTCCAGTATGGAAATGTAAAAGAACAAAACCAACTGCTATTGTGGCTCCTGTTGCCTGAAAAGATGCATTTTTTGATGAAACTGCCCAAACATCTCCGATACTCTACTTGATAATGTGTTTGTAGAGACTGGGTGGAGTAATGTTTGTGAAGACAGGAATGAAAAAGGTTTGTGCTGTAAATTGTGCACTTACGAACAGGCTCTGTCTTGAAGAACTCAGCGGGGCTGCTTTCTCCTTCACCCTTTCCATTAATGGCTGCTAACTTTACTTCGTAGCTGGAGTCTGGCTTCAGGCCTGTGATTGTCACCTCATTGCTCAAACCTGGTACAATATCAGAGACAGTGCAATTTCTGTTGAAAATACCACCGTGTTTGTCCCTATTCCAACAATACATGAATAATTAATTGCCTTAGAGCAAATGCTGATTAGCTCAGTTTTTATTTCAGTTCAGTAAAGTTGGAACAGATTATATTTTTAGACAAGTTCGAAAACAGAACACAGAAATAACATTTATGCCAAATTATTTTGGTCATTTAAACGTGTAGACACATCAATTTGAGACAACAACTTTCTATTTCACTCTCAGCTATTTCATTAGTAAATATTGTTTTTATTTATCTGTCTTTTTGGTTTCCAACTCATGATTTCCTGATGTTTTTATCATTATTGCTAACTCGTGCTTCCACCCTTATTTGCACTACTGTGGACCCTTGAGCAAGGCCCTTAACCCTCCAGCTATTCCCCTGGCTGCTCTCTGCGCCACGTGTGCTCATAATGGAAAAAAATGTGGAGTAGGAATTTTCACATTGGATATGAACAAAAGTATATAAAATAAAATTTTAAAATAATCTTCTTTGTTTTCATGTATTTTAAAAACAACAGAGCTATATGAAACTAAATCCTCCAACGCTGGAATATTTTAATATATGTGATTACAAGAAAAACCCTAATAAACAATCGTACATGAGCTATGTGGTTTGTTCTTCAAGACAAATGGACAAGAAAAGGAACCTCTACAACAACACTACAATTCTAGTTTGTGTTTTACCTTCTTGAATCTCATAGACGCTCTTCATCCAGCTTGCTCTTCCTCGCATCCTCCACTCTGCTCTGTATTTCAGGACAGGAACACCTCCAGTAGATTCGGGCTCCCCGAACTGGATGAGTGCAGTGGTGGAAAAGGGTCTCACTTCATCAATGAATGGAGCTGATGGAACCTCTAAAAGCAGGAAAATGCAGTCGATTTACCACAAAAACTGGAAGGACCCCCCCCCCCACACACCCACCCACACACACACCTTCTGGAACAGGCAGACTCCATATAGTTTTTAAAGTGATGGGCAGAGTGTTAAGTCTTAAAAAACAACTAAACCCACTAAATATTAGAAGAAATCTAAGATTTACAACAGTGAAGCAGAAACAGCTTAAATTGTAGATAAAGGTAGAATTAACAATTCTTTTATAACTGATTCAGACAAAGTGGTTTTGAAGATAACTAAGAACCAAACAAACAACAACTAATAAAATTAACAATGTGACAAATGTTCAAAATCTTTGACTGTAACAAAAAAAAAAGAAGATTATACCATATTTAGAAAACTTATTTGCTATCTGCTGCACACAATTCAACATTTCAATAAAATGTAAACATTATAATAGTATAATCAATTAAAATTCAAAAATACTTTATTAATCAGAAAAGGGAAATGAATTGTTGCTGTAGCTCATCCTGGTTTCATTAGAGTTGTTCTAGATGCTGATGGCTTTGGGCTAGAAGGATCTCTTGTAGCAGTCCGTCCCACAGCGGATCTGAAGAAACTGGCTGCATATGCTGATCCGTCCACCCAGACCCAGCAGACCTCTCGGTCCTCTTGGGTAGCAGGACTACCTGAATGCCAGGCAGAACTCCGCCCCCAGCGATGGCCATTTCTCCCAGCAGCCTGCCGTGTTCCTTGTCGCCATGGACTTGTGTCGAGGAACGATCTCAGTTGTCCCGCTGTCATGAACCGTGTTTCCCACTACCTCAAAGATCTCGGTGGTCAGGGACTTGAGCACTGCCTCCAAGTAGATGGAGGTGCATCCATGGCACCTCCTTTTCAACTCGTTTGAGATTTGGGCTGTAGTTGAGGTTTTTTTTTAGCTTTTGATATGTTAATCAGTAGCTCCCAGTTGTGGAATACTACCTCGTTTTTATGGTTATGCATCATAACAAATGTCCAAAAGTAAAAAAAAAGGTTTCAGTGTAAATCCTTCCAGCGGCACATCATCCAAAAAAAGTGATTTACATCCAGAAAAAATAGGAATTAAAGTTTTCAAAAGCAAAATCTCAGAATGAATATAAGAGAGCTACGCCAACATGCAGCCACCTTGAGCGGCTGCATTATTCTAGAATAATATGGAAAATAAAATAAATATGCAAAAACAAATACATATGCAAAAACTAGTTAACAATAAAATCTATAAAACTGCATAACATACGCATTATACATGTTATGTCTTTGATAATGTCAATGTCGGTTTGATTTATATAGCACATTGACAAAAGAGCTTCACAAACAGCAAATCTAGTAAAATAAAGAAGCTTGCCAAGTAAAAAATAATCTATCTGAGCTGTGAGGTGATTATGTGGTCTCATTTACAGTCTTTTTTAGTTTTGACAGGAGAATATTCTTTTGTCACCACCCACTGTGCTCCTGATTACAGAGAAAATGGCATTATTTAAACTATTTAGCCAATTGAAATGATCCATATCCAAGTATGGGCGGCAGCTCCAGGTTCAAACTCATCCTCTGGTGTGAACACAATTCTGTACTGCTTCTCTTTGATCTGAGAAGTAAAAAGGCACACTGTAATTACTGCAGTCGCCAGCGTTTTGCTTTCAGACAAGAGTGTAGTTTTCTTCCCATTCACTCACTTAGAGCGGTGGCTTAAAACTGTTTCTCTCTGCTCCGACTGCCCTATGGGTAAGTATGCAGTCAGTGGAAGCAGTAAGATGTAACAAAAATGCTGTAAAAAGTTTCTTTATAATTCTTACAGTAAACTATACTCATGAACACATTCAGTTTAATATTTTACACTGCATTATGTGCTTTAATCCATACCTGTTGTCTTTTAATCTAAATCTACCTTCCAGCTAAACTGCTTTTGTAAACGCACATGGTAGACATTTGTTAGCCAAACGTATTCTGAATACAGGTGTAAAAATCCACTTTCACAGTACAGAAAAAGAAGTGCTTTGATGCATTACTGAATGTAAATATGGATGTCAAACAGATTTAAACAGTTGCAGCTGAAAAAAGAAATGTATGTCACGCCTTATGACATTTTCAAAGCATCTGTACTGGCCTGCTAAAATGATAATTGCAGGTTAAGAACAAACGCTTTAAATGCAAATTGAATAAGAATACTGAATCACAGCCTCATCACTGACCTGCCTGAATGAGCAGGAACTCCTTGGACTCTGTGCCCATATCGTTTGAGGCAGTGCAGTTATAGCTTCCAAAATCATTCTCAGACTCGGGGGTAATCTGTAGAGAGGGAAAAAATGAAGCGGTAGATGAACGAGGGGCACTGGAACCAAACGGATGAACAAACCTGTGTGTCAAACTCTACGAAGGTGACCTTTTTGTTTGTCCATTAGAGTAGCTTTTGTTTGTTGCTATGAGGCTTCATGCTGCTGAATTATTCATGTCCCTTTTTTTCTTCCACAAAGGAGTTGAAAGAAAACCCCTTCACTTCAAGTCTATGCTCATGAAATCTTCATGACATGAGGCGGTGGGGGGTATGAGGTGTGTCTGTGTATGAATTGTGTGTGTACAGTATGTACATGTGTTTTAAATATGCACAACCTGCAGGAAGCTGGATGAGGGAGTCCTGAAGATCTTGACGTTGGTGCTGTTTGAGTTGGGAAGCTGCAGTCCGTCTCTCAGCCAAATGATTGACACGTCACTGGGATAAGCTTTGACCTCACAGCTGATATTGACTGGATTCCTCTCCCAGGTATACACTGCAACTGTTCCATGGATCTTAGGAGCATCTAGAAAGTAAATGTTTTACAAAAATTCTAAATGCTGTTTAATGCAGCGAATCCCTTAAAATGTGTCAGACATATTTTGTAAAACCTTGAACTTAATTTTATGAGAAAATACTCACATCGAACATCCAGATGAGCTGATTGTGCATCTTCTCCGATGGTACTGCGCGCTGTGCAGAGGTACCGACCAGCATCTGTATACTTGACGTACTTCAGAGTGAGGGAGGACACACGAGCATCACTCCTCACTACAACATTTCCATCCAGGCTCTAAATTGTAACAAAAAAATAGTTAGGTAAGGGGGAAGGAAACAAATCTGATTATGGCACCTTCACTGCAGAAAGCTGTTAGAACTATAAAAAAATAAAAATAAAAGCTAGCCTTTAATATAAAGAGTGAACATTAAATTAATGAAAGAGGTGAACACAGCTCTATAAAGATGTGATACTTAAGGACACAAATGACAAGGCAAAGGATCTTATAAATAATTGATGTCAGACCGCAGTAAAAACCATCTGAAGCTTTTCACATAGCAGCTTTAGAAAGATGTGAAATATGCTGATGCAAGTCCATGGACAGCAGAACTTTACAGGATGTTCCACACCTGCACTTTTACACTTAAGCTCACTTTGTTTCACGTAGTCGTGTAAAGAACAAATTAAGTATTTTGATTCTTAAAGACTTTTCACTTCTAATCCGTGAATTGATTTGACACTTATCTGTGCTGCTGATAATCCATGCTGCTGATTTCTTACCCATAAACTGCTGTAATCATACCCATCTGCTCATAGCAGACTCATGTTCAGGCTGCTGTTTAATACACCCTATATTACCGGTATATTATTATGTTTAGCATATTGTATATATAGATCCTTGTACAGTAGTCCCTCACTACTTTGTGGTTCGTTTTTCACAGACTCACAAATTGCTGCTTAAAATTGGGTGTGACACACATTTGGCTGATTGATAGATGAGCCACACGACTTGCATGGACTTTTTATTTAAAATAAATTATTGTAAATGATTTAACACTGTGCAGCCCACAGCTGCAGAAAAAGCTTCCCCCTGCAGCTGATCAGCTGATCTCCGCTCTGTAGTGGAGAAGTGGGCATGGCCAAGAGTGGCAGGTGGCAGAGTGCAGGGGAGGCAGAGAGATGAAATCACGACATTCTGTGCTCTTTATGATCATTTAGAGTTTAGAAACATTGTTTAGAATATCGCAACAGTGCGGAAAGGGTTTAAAACGCGCACTTAAATATATATATATATATATATATATATATATATAT